TGGAATTTTAAGCTTTCCACATAAAATTATAAACTTTTAAATATCCTGTAAGATTCCTAATGCAGTAACAATTTACTTACTGAGGAGCAGATAGAATGTAAAAAAAATATCCCTCTAACAGCCTCCAGAGTGCACATCTGCTAACAATAGCTGACACTCCTAGTTTGCTCTCTCACTGTCCCTTGCATTTGTGTCTGGATGTTGCCCAGATTACTCAAAACTCTCAAAAATCTTTCTAAAACATCAAAGTTTACATAAGAAGAAATTGTTATAGTTTAGTTGCATGAAGTTACCATTGTGTAAGCTTTAATTTTTATTTATTTATTTAAGAGATTTATTTATTTCTGCATAGACGAGCTGGAGTGTAGGTCAGTGGTATGAGAGGATTCACTAGTGATATAGTGGGGAGCAGAACAGGCAGATGCACTAAAATCCACTGCTGAGGGGAGCAGCAGCGGGTGAGACTAGAGAGGTCTGATGTATGCAGTGAGTCAGCTCCCTGAACTCAGGCCATAGCAGGGACAGCACTGAGACTTAACCCCCTCTACTACCAGGGAGGCCCTAAGCTCTTATTTTTAAAACTAAAACTCTAACAGCTGATAGCTAAGGGTTAATAGTCCTTTCCCTTTTAATATTCACATTCTATTGTTTGTAGGAAACTCAGTTAGCCTCGTAGGTAAATGATCGACTAACTTTCCAATAGTTTAGAAAGTAAAAGCTTTTTAACATACACTTTCATTTTGAAATATTATAAAATCTTCAGCTAGAAACTGATGAATCAAATTCACGCAAGGTTGAAGTTCATAACAAGCTACTTTCTACCTCCCTTCAGAGGTAGAAATGGGTTTGAATCCACATACCATTTTTAACAGGCTCCCCTTTCAAAGTTCAGAAGGAAAGGGAATATATACATTCCAATTCATGAAGAGTAGAACACATAACAACTTTCGATACTGAATCTTACAGAAACATTATCTTCAAAAATTGTATAATAGACCACCACATTTTCCTTGTATTTTTTTTTTTATTAAACTAATGTAGAAGTTCGGGCTTCTACATTATCTTTGTAGTCCATACTTATTAATTGCCCTGTAATACCATCATTCTAATTTTTTTAAAGATTTATTTATTTGTGCATACAGAACTGGGGTGCAGGCCAGAGGTGCAGGGGTCGTGAGAGGATTCACCAGAGACAGAGTGGGGAGCAGAACAGGCAGATGGACGAAATACACTGCTGAGGGGAGCAGCGGGCAGGCCAGGAGAGGTCTGCCACGCCATGTGGATCACCTCACGGGCAGGCGGGTATCGAACTCATGCGGAAGTGGCTTAAGCTTCTTAGTGCAGTGCTTTTACTCGCTGCAGGGAGGGTCCCATCATTCTAATTTTAATTTATGCAACTATATTTGAAAGTCAATAGAAATATCAAGCAAGTAGGAAACTATCAACTCCCTTGTCCTCTCAGGAAATGATAGAAAGCAGGTTTGTTTCCTCTCCTTTTTTAGACAGGCAACATGGTGAAAATGTGTACAAAAATGGATAGATTCAGGTTTGAATCTATTCTCTGCCAGCTGATGAACATATGTCCTTGGGCAAAGCTTATATGTTACTAAATTAACTCAGGCAAAGTATATGATTCTTCTCAAACTTTGAATTTAATTTTTTTATTCCATGCATCTTTATTTATATATTTTACATCATTGTATATGCCCTGTAAAATTTCCACCACCAGTTCACCCGTAAACCATCACCATATAGCTTTGTGCTCTTCTCTCCTCTATCCTTGATCCCTTTTCCTTTCCTTCCACTCAAGACTGTCTCTTATCAAACTTTGAATCTTTACATGTTAATAAAGCTACATACCTAGGCTCAAAGGTAGTATGATGATTAAATGAAGTCAGTTATAAAGCACCTGGCATGTAAATGATACTCAATAGTTATTGAGTTCATTGTCTTATATCTTATATGTCAATACGAATAAAAAAAATTTGAAGATCAAAAGCAGTGACTCTGAATCAAGTTGCCATGTCATTTTTATGACTCTCTTCCCTTTTGTGGAAAATTTATATTGGACTTGAATAAGAATTCAAAATATAAAAATAGTTAAAAGATTGAATATGATGAGACTAGATAAATAAAGCTTCATATTTCTTAGACGGAGCTTTGTAATAATAACAATAAAAATAAATAATGGAAGGAGGAGGAGGAGGGAGAGAAGAAGGAGAAGAAATGTTTTTTAAGGTTAACTATCTATAAACATGAATATTAGATTCTCAGTAAAGCATGTTGCCTTCTGAGACAATTTCTTTCTCACAATAATCCTTGTTTTCATTCATTGTTTTCATCTGTGGGAAGTAGTTTTATAACTCTAACTTCAAAAATACTTAGCATGAACTCTCTTTTATCTTACCCAGACTTACGGAAATCTAGTAATCACTTACAGGCAAAAATGATCTTAGATCATCTACTCCAAGATATATTCTCTCCAAAACTGAATTTGAGGTTAAGTTTCATAGGCTAGGCAGTCATTGAAATTTTGAGGTGTTTTAGTCTTTTGTGAGTTTTATATTGTGAGTTCCTTTTGCAAAACTAAAATCTGCCTTACAATGATTTCTTCCAATTGATTTCAGTTTGTCCTGTGGTATAATACACAGTACAGAGATTTCATCTTCCTGTTTGAGTAGCCACTCACTCTATTCTTTTCTTTAGAACTAAGCACTCACATATTTCTCTGGAGAACCATGTCTCACCAAATTCCATTTGAATCTGGTATTGCATGCTATCATCGCCAAAGGTGGGGTCCATGATCTAAACATGGACTCACAGCTCCCATGTTCACAGTCATGGCTTCAGAAATGAGCATGAAATTGGATGAAGGATGAATTACTTTGAATTGTTGAGCAAGACAAATATTCTTTCAGCAGACTTGGAGAATGTAGAAACTTTGGCTACCATTTTATCCAGAGGAAGCAAGAGACCCTTTGGAATTTGGGCTTACCTAGATAAAAGAGGAGCAGAAAGAGTTACTGGGCTCTGATTTATCCTGTTCATTGTGAAGATAAAATTACTTCCCAGCAATTTTCAGTTATATAAGCTAAAGCATTTCTAATTTTCTTAAGTTTACTTGGGTTGAACTTATATCACCTGCAACCAAAAACTCTCATGACTAAAATAGACATTGGACAATCTTCTCTGAAGATTGTAATTACTTCCTCTCCATAATCTATTATTTCAAACAAACATTGTCAGTTCTTTGAATTTCCACTCATATTAAAAATGTTTACCAGATCTCTTTCAATTTTGGTTATTGTGTTCTTTAATATTTACTAAGTATAATAAAATTTAAAATATGTGCTGACACAAACAGATATAAAATGAAAACATACAGACATTTATAATTTACTTTATGAAAAGAGTTATTTCAAGTAGTCTAGAATCTGTCTAGGTCTAGCACCTTTAATCTTGTTATCTCATAAATAAAGTTTCCAAAGGAATCATATTTGGTTATCATATATTCCAAAGTAATCCCAGCACACTGATTTATTAATATTGCATTGTCATAATTTTTCATCAACCAAAAAAAAATCTACTATCTCCAGTGACCTCAAAATTCAGAGCTTTCTATTTAAATAATCAAACACATACTGTTGTGCAATTTGAGCTTATGTCCAAGCCACATAAAAATAGTGAAGACAGGGCTTTCCCTGGTGGCACAACAGGTTAAAGCAATGCACTATGAAGCTCTCTGCAGCCGCTGCTGCGTGAGTTCAATCCCCAGCCAGGGAGCTGACCCACATGGTGTGGCAGACCTCTCCTGACCCGCCTGCTGTTCCCCTCAGCAGTGTACTCCATTGATCTACCTTTTCTGTTCCCCACTCTAGTGAATCATCTCACCCACCACAGCTCTGGCCTGTACCCCAGTTCTGTAAGCATAAATAAATGAATCTTTAAAAAAAATAGCTAAGACATAAAATACAATGATTTTATATTTACTTGTTGGGGTAAAATTCCTACAACTTATTTTTACAATCACCACTGTCACTGGCCTCTCATTTATTTGTTGAGCACACAAACTTAACAAGCTTGGCGTAAAATGTTTTGCTGATAAGATATAATGTAATCCCTTTCATCTCATGACCTGGTAGTATTATCATCATTTACAGACAAAACAACTCGGGAGAGAGAAGTTAACCAACGTGTCCAAAGTCACACTACTTATAAATGACAAAGTAAGCAATCTAACTTTACTCTGTTTCTGAACTTCATGTTCTTATTCATAATGTATGTCTGCTTCCAATCTCTATAATATCAAATGGGATATATGTAAACAATATTTTGAGGAGAATGTAATGAAAGAAACATAGTAGGACCTTTTAAACAGATTATATCTTAAAATGAATTTATTTCTTTATAAGCTAGGAAGGTAACTGAACAAAAGAAAAGCAACACATCAAATATAAATTTGGGATTATACTTAAAACACATTGGGGTTATAATTAAAACATATTGCAAATATTTATAACAATCAAAACTCTAGGAAAAGTCCTCTCTTCTTAGATCACCTAACCTAATGGGTGGGACAGATCTTAAACAGATTGGGAAAATAGTTCTTTGTCCTTCATCCCTCTTTTCTATGTCTTTCACTATCAAGATTTATACCCTATTATTTTACCCTCTTTGCTTTAAGACCTGCATCCTTTTATTTTCTCCAGTTATCTCTAGGACTAACTTGTTTTCAATATCTACCTTAAGAAAAGACCCTGACATAGTAATCTATACTTTGAGCTGCATTTATGTCATTCTTACTCTTCCCTAGACATACTTCCATTTTGGACTTATTTAAGGATGTGAATTAAGTCTTCAAAATTCTTTGAAGCATCACCCAATAGATGGAGATATTTTTGGCACCGAAGCAGATGTTGAGGGATGGCTTGAAGGTCACACTAAATAGGGATCAAACCCCCAAATGTGTAATTGAGATGCTGATGACAGCCAGTACCTACCTGTTCATTCTTTCATATTGTTCCATTTTCTTGCTTCTATTCCTAAGTACAGGATGGTGATTAGTGGCAAGTTAAAGCCTCTTCTATATTTCTTTTTGTCAAAGCTATCAACAATGAAAAACAAGAGAATTATGTTTTGTAACTTTTTCATTTTTCTACCTCCTCACTGATAGTGAAATTACCAAAAGGCACGCAATGTACAGATAACACACCAATTAAATAAAGAAGCACAAGAAATATCAAATAAATATAATGTAATCTACAATTATTTTTGGAAAGGAAGCATACAGGACCTCATGATATTCATTACCAAGTATCCCAGAATGATGAAGATGTTAAACCTGGCCAAATGCAAATTTTCTTATAAAAGTGCATGATCCGTCAACTAAACATGCTCGATTACTCTCTCCTTCTAAAATATTGCCAGTAATCAATAATAACCAAAATAAAAACAGTGAATCACTGAAATCATAGAAAGTAAAATTTTACTGTGCACATATTTAAAATACAGTTTGCAAATGGGAACACTTAAACCAACACATGGAATAAGCCTAGGGAAAATTACTATGAAGCAGTTTACATAATGAGAAGGCAGAGTCTATTCATTGTAGAGATTGGTTAAAACATTAGGATGTTCACTTATTACCTCTGGAACACTAGGAAGTGGTTTAAATTTTGTTTATGATTTCCAGAAGCATAAACAAGAAGGTCAAGTTAGCCAACTAAAATAAGTTAAATTTTGTACTTGTATGACTAAACTGATGTTTTCTGCTCAGGAGAATTTTGAGGCTGATTTTCATTTGTATTTAAAATTTTAACAAATTGTTTTATTTTGTGTTTTAAATGCCAGATAAATTTAATGTGTATTTCTCCTTAGCATCCTCTCTCTAGAGGCAATTCATCAATTCAAATATTCACAGGAAAATTTAAATAGAAAACTTTTTTTGAGAGTGCATGTAATAAGCTCTAGTACCTCATAGCACCTGTCTCTATAACTGAGATTCTATTTGATATTGTAATAATGAGTATAGTATTCTTTCCAAGTGTCTAAAAGATAATATAAGACCTAAAGTAAAGACTTAATACTTAAAAAAAAAAAAGGTGTCAAAAAATACGGTTATTCCATGACCTGAAAAGTTGAAAAGTTGATAATGCTCTTAAGGTCCTGCTATTTGAAAATTTCCCATCTGTTATGAAACTTTGAGAATCCATGAGCAAAACAACACAGGCATAAAGACTGGGCTGGAAATGTGTGCTGTCAAGCAAAACATAGGTTTCTCAAGATTTTGATGTGCCACTTGTGTATCTGTAGCTTTTCACTTGGCAAGCCTTTTTTGTGTCTTAACAGAAGGCAAAGGAATAACAAGTGTTCTTTTGTTTGTCAGATTTCAGGCATTCCAAGAGAATAAAGCTGGGATTTGGTTCATTCTACTCCAAGTTGAAAATTTAACAACTTTAATGTAAATAGATATATAAGCAAATTTAAAATGTTAAAAAAGGAAATAGCTTGGTTCAAACTCTACATGCAATAAAATGTCTTTCATTCAACTCCTATCCATGACACTTCAAAGGTAAATGTAATTGTTGACAACCAAGAAATATTTGTTTTGTTTAAAAAAAAAAGAGGGTCCTCTCTGGTGGCACAGTGGGTTAAAGCACAGCACTAAGAAGCTAAAGCCACTTCCACATGAGTTCGATCCCAACTCAGAGGTGATCCACATGGCACAGCAGACCTCTCCTGACCCGCCCACTGCTCCCCTCAGCAGTGTACTTCATCACTCGGCCTGTTCTGGTCCACACTTTGTCTCTGCTGAATCCTCTCACTGCCCTGTACCTCTTGCCTGTACCCCAGTTCTGTATGCATAAATAAATAATTTTTTTAAAAGAAAATTTAACAACTTTGACAAGATCTGCTTCCTTTGATCTACATGCAGCTGTATGAGATTGTTATCTTTCAATGGAGGCTAGACTACTTGTTAACACCAGTTAAATAGTGTCATTCTGAGTTGTGTGGAGAGAACAATGCACTGCTCAGGTGGAGTAATGGCTCTGACGTGACTGTGGACAAATTATACTTAACCAGGAAGTTATTCCTTCTTTCACATGCAATAGTATTTAAAAGCTAGAACACTACCTAACACATAATTGATGGTCAGAGAATGTCTACCAAAGTAGCCCAGTCCTGAGTAAAAATGGTCTGGGCCAAAGAGAAAAAAGGAAAAAATCATTAAATATGGAGCAGGACAGAAGTAGGGAAACCCAGACTAGACTCAGACAGAAATCATGCTACTATACACAGAATTTAAGTTTCAAAAATTTCTTTGTTTTTTTTTAAAGACTTATTTATTCATACAGAACTGGGGTACAGACCAGAGGTGCAGAGGCAGTGAGAGGCTTCACCAGAGACAGAGTGAGGAGCAGAACAGGCAGATCGACAAAGTACACTGCTGAGGGGAGCAGCGGGCTGGTCAGGAGAGCTCTGCCACGCCATGTGGTCACCTCCGGGGCAGGTGGGGACCGAACTCACACAGATGCAGCTGCCGCCAGCTTGCAGTGCTGCACCACCAGAGAGGGCCTCAAAAATTTCTTATGAGGAGAAATTAAAAATTTCTATGAGAACACTACTAGATGACATTGACAATTCATATTTGGTGTGCTTTTTAAATTCATACATTTAAATACATACATACACATATATTTCTTTCAAATCACTTAATTATACAGTGCTAACTCACTAGAATGTGGTTTGTATCAAATAAATTTATATTTAAACATGCAAATCTACTGCATGATTAGTGTTAAAGTCCACATGTATTGTTCTCATGGCCAGGGAGATCACACAGTAGGATGCAAACAGATGAGCTGTGCTCTTGAACATGGAGGCACAGCATTTGTTCCCAGCTGAACTGACATTCACTTATGCATTTGTTTACCCTGCAATGGCCTCACATCTTCCTGCAACTTATTTATTGATGAACACATTACACAATGGGTGAGAAAGATACGAAAGGATAAATATGCTGGAGAGATTACTGAAGTTCTGTAGTGTGATACCACCCCTGGATATTAAAAATCCAAGTTTAATAGCAACTCCAGTTCTCTTACAAACAATAGGCAAGAAATAAAAGAGTAATGATACAATCAATAGACACTTACATGCTGATAAGAGCTATTTGATATGCAGGGGGAGAATATATACATCAGTCTTGGAAGCTGACAAACACCATTATATGAACAAAAATTGTAACGAACTAGAACTGGAGACATATCAGTGTTTCAAAATATTTGAGAGACTAAAACAATGAGCTGTGAATGGGGAAAAACATCTACATAAAAACTGGGATAATACAATTGTGTATAGGATTGATTCAGTGTTTCAATTTCCAGGATATATCTCATCCTTGCCTTTCTAAAAGACAAAGTGGCTAAAGTATAGTTCTAAATATCTTTCTAGACTTCTAGCTATAATATAGTAATGTATTATAAACACACATATAAACAATTGTAGGAAACCTGATCTACAAGGAGCCTTCTGGAAATATTGGTCAATCTTTGGTCATAAATTCTATATCCTAGGGCTAAATGCAAGCCTATTGAGTAATATGATAATTATTTCTTTCTATGCTTCCTTTGGTGATTTTGAAATGAAAACATTTTTACCTTGTGCCTTTCTTTGACTTCAAGTACCTTCCCACTCCCATTCAATACATACTTTTTAACATGCTCATAGCCACTCCTTTGGATTCTCCAGCAGATTATTCCTATATTTTAGAAATATGTGAGTCAGTTTTGGAGTCTCCTATACCTGAGCTGCCAGGGATTCCACTTTGATGCTTTGTGACCACCGTGCAAATCTTTACTATTCTGGTACAACATGCTATTTTTGTCTCCTAAGATGGCATGCATTTCTTGGTACGGTGCCTTTATTTCAGCCTTTGAAAAAATCCCTGAAGAAATAATTTATACCCTGAGATATACCTAAAGAGTTCTATGCTTCACTGAAATCCAAATTGAGCAGTTACCCTTTTATTTACTTTTTATTGAGGTAATACTGGCTTAAAAGTACTCTTCTCTAACTCTTTAATCTTTAATGTAGACAGTCGCAAGTTAAATGCAGCCCACAGAATAAAGTTTTGTTGCTAGAATAATCCTTACTTGAACTCAAAAGTTTCTGAATAAATAGATTATGAACATAACTATATTGAAACTGATAAGTACTTATGAAAATCCCTGAATAAATAGATTATAAACATAACTGTATTGAAACTGATGAGTACTAGCTTATGAAAATCTCTATACATGATGAAAACAGAAAAAAAAAGTTTCATACAAACTGGAAATACTTTTGAAAGAAAAGTATTACTTGATGTTGATAAAAAGTTTATAGTTCCTGGGGGAAAGTTGTTTAAAAAGAGTAAACTCAGCCCTCCCTAGTGGCACAACAGAATAAAGTGTAGCACTGCAAGTAAGCCGCAGCCGCTTCAGTATGAGTTCAAACCCCAATCCCGGAGGTGACCCACATGGCGTGGCAGACCTCGCCTGCTGCTCCCCTCAACAGTGCACTTCCTTGATCTGCCTTTTCTGCTCCCCACTCTGTCTCCGGTGACTCCTCTCACTGCCCCTGCACCTCTGGCCTGTACCCCAGTTCTGTATGCATAAATAAATAAATCTTTAAAAAAAAAGAGGAAAATCATCAAATAGGAGAAACTTTTGACCATCATCCTACTGGTGCAGTGTCAGAGGGAGTGTTGGGAAGGCTCTGGAGAAAATATCCTCATGGGTAAATGGTGATCTTACTCATACACTTTAAGAACACATATTTCAAAATTTCAACTAATACATTCCATCATCAAATAATTTATCTCACTTGTATATAACAAATAATATACTCAGGTGTTAGGTACATCCAATATTTTATGATTTATGAAATGTTTTTAATATTTGGTAGTAGCTAGTCTCTTTTGGAAATAATAGTTTCTCTTTTAAATTTCTATCTACTAATAATTTCCCATCAGCTAATAATTTTTTAACTTAATGTTTTTTAATTCATTGATGCTTTCTTATTTTAAATGTATTGATTTTTAAAAAATACTTATTTAGTGGCCCTCCCTGGTGGTGCAGCGGGTTAAAGCACAGCACTGAGAACCTAAAGCCACTTCCGCGTAAGTTTGATTCCCGCCTGCCCCGGAGGTGACCACATGGCATGGCAGACCTCTCCTGACCCGCCCGCTGCTCCCCTCAGCAGTGTACTTCATTGATCTGCCTGTTCTGTTCCCCGCTCTGTCTCTGGTAAAGCCTCTCCCAGCCCCTGAGCCTCTGGCCTGTACCCCAGTTCTGTATGCACAAATAAATAAATCTAAAAAAAAATAATACTTATTTAGTACTTATTTTATTCTACTAGAATAGAATGCTGGTGTAAGGTATTCATATTTTTGAGTTTACATAAGATGATACTAAAACATTACCTTTTATTTTCTGCTATAATTACTTGTAGCATACCTCTCCTCTCATTTTCAGTGATTTAAGTTCAGCAAACTATTTCTTCATAATACATTTCTCTCTTTTCCTGTGACATCAGGGTTTTGAGCATATATGGAGAAATTCTTTTCCATTTTCTATCAAACAGCTGTTGTCTACAAGGAGGAAGGAAAATACAGACGGTTAGTGTTGACCATGAGGGTCAGGACAGCAATAAGAACCCCTGACTCTGACACACAGACCATATTCCTGGACCTGACATTTCAGATTCTTCTAAATTTCTTCCCAAGTTAGATGAGGAAAGTGAGTTCTCAGAGCCATCCTCAGTAGTCACATGAAATGCTGTATTTATCAAAATGAAGATTTTCTTTAAAAAGTGGAATTTCCATGATGCCAGTGTCACATTTATTCTCCAGAAAAACAAAGTAAAATTATCTTCCATGATCTAAATTAGTGAATTGCATGAGGCACGATTCTCAAATTTAACTAACAGACATTGTTAGAAAAATATGAAGTACAGCTTATACCACCTGTAGGGAAGCTTGAAAAATAACAATCAAAAATCCAGTGGAAACAAAGAAAGCCAAGCAACCAGAGTCACACATACCATGAAAATTCCGATGAAGCTACTATCTGAACAACATCACTGCTCTGCCAAAGTTATTTTCCCTGCTACTGTGCATAAATTCTAAATCATTGTTTACATTTTATACTCCTAAGTTTACAGCAGGCATCTCCAATGTAGATCACGCTTCCTTGCACAAAGGTCTGAGACTTTTCCAACTACAACTATGAAGTCCCTTAAAATAGGAAAGATTGTGGCTACTTGGGACTTAATTAGCATTGACAGTAACAAAAGTCCACAACAGTCTCTAGATGTCCATCCTGCCATGCTTTGGTCATAATAGAAATGTTGGAGTTAAAATAACCTTTTGTTTCTTAAAGTGGGATATCTTTCAAGACACAGTTTCAGAAGGAAGAGTATACATTGAACAGGAAAGCCAAAAGATCAATGACTTAGGACTTTAGATATTGATCTCAAAATCTGTGAAGTATCAAGTTCAACTTCCTAGAGAATTGGAGCTATTGTGTAAATTTTGAATTCTTGCTTTCTTAACTACATTTTTATCTTCTGTTGTTAATAAAAAATGGAAAGATATTTTTATTATTATTATTTACAAGGCCTTCATGCCAAATAACTCACTGGATATAAAAGGTACTACGTGCTGAGAAATTAAAGCATATAGTTAAATATAGCTTTTTTAATACTGGGATTTTTTTTATTTTGTTCTTTTCTGCTTTTAAAAAAATTTAACTCAAAGGGATGCAATTTATAAACCTGAAAAAAATTATTACCATTTATGCTCTCAATATGTATTTTGCCATTAGTCTTTCTTTTGCTTCCTTTAAACAATGTCTTACAAAGAATATAAAATTTTAAGTAAATGAATAAACTTAGAAATAATCATAACTTTATAGGATTTTGAAAGGTAAAAAATTCAGCTTATTATATTTCATCAAAATATAAAGACCACTAAGTTCATTTAAAAATTATTTTAAAGCTGGTGATATTTTCAGCTACATAAATCAATAAAATATGTACAAAGAGAAGGAAAAAACTAGTCTCATTTGAAATTCTGTGTTTTTTTTTTCTTTCAATAGGTTTTACATGCAGTTGTGGAAAATCTCAAAGTCAGTATTGTTGGCCTAAATCTTGCGACGCTCAAGAAATTACAACCAATCACTTCATGCTCAATTACAGAATCATTCTTCATTCCTTAGATTTTAGAAATTCCTAAGTTAAAATACATCACTTATTTCAAGTTATTGTTCTACCCTCAACCTATATGCCCTGTTCAAACAGTCTCCACTGTGTAGTCGCTAGCCTCCCTTTATCAGCGACTACAGTCTTACTAATTCATGTAATGGGAAGTCTATTCAAGATCAGGTTATTACCACAGATGACAAGCATGCATACATACCCCTCCAAACTTGTTCAAGAAACACAATCCAACCAACTGGGATAATTTAAACGAATGATCTCACCAATAACCAGGCAATTTATAGCTGAATGAATTATGCAGCCAACAGCATAAGTGATTCCTCTGAGTTACCAATAAACTATAGCTGATTCTCAGAAGAATAGCACATTATCATCACATATTG